AATATACATTTAAATAGTAAAGAGTCTTACTTGATAGTTGACGGAAGTGAACACACAGGGACTTTAGCGGTGCTCAGTATTAAATCCTTATTGTTTTCCATTTTGCATAGAATTTTCTCTCGTAAAATTTTGGCCAGACTTAAGTCTCCGTCACACAGTAACTGGAACACCAAGTCCATCAAATTCTTGAGTATTTCATTGTCGACTTGACCTCTGCAAAGATAAACAGTGAGAAATTTGAGATTGGTATGATGCAAACAACAACAAAAAACAGAACTATAAATAATGTGTTTTTGGTTTGAACATTTTATAGTTTGTTAATATTGGTGTTAATAATATTTCTAGGCAACTTAAAATTTCACTGAAGATTTTGTTACAGCTTTGTTTATACAAACATTTATTTTATACATAAATAATTACTTTCATACACTCAAAATTTGAAAAGCAAGTTTTTCTGTTGTTTGCTCCAAATTTATTAGAAAAAGATTTTCCAAGTTAAATAAAGAATTTATAGTCTCAACAAAAACATATGTGGTACACTGTGGAACACTACAATACTGTACATGTTTTTAAGCAATTGACTGATTTGATAACATTTTTTAACTTACATGAGATCTCCAGCAACACGTAGCAGTAAGAAAAAAGCATTCCGACTTAACCGGGCCGCTGTATCCGGCTTATTGCGAAATTTACGATAACGGTATAATAATTTATCTATGAGATCTTTAGGTAGAATGAACGTCCTATAACTGGTCAAGAATGCTTCATAGAATACTAAATCTGAATAAAAAGAAAACCAATTTTAATATGAAAATAACAACTCATAAACATATTAAAATGAACCAGAATATGAATCCTAACAATAAATACAATTTATTAAATTAATCAATATTATAGTAGTAATAGAAACCATTTTTAACATATTCCATAAAAACAGTTTATAAACAGAGGCTGTAACATGTTTTGTCTTTTAAAATAAATTGACAATAGCCTTCAGTTGATTCACAGGTCAAAAACAAATTAATAGCAATACAAGAGAGGTCAAAAACAAATTAATACTTACACAGGGGAAGTCAAGGTTCTTAGCATTAAAAAAACAGCTGATTAGATTAAAAACCACTAATTTCAATCACTACATTAAAACTTGAATTTTGCTATTTTTAAATACTTTTGAAGATACCAGTACCCTTACATGAAAGATTTAAAAAAATGAAAATTCAAATTCAATATACCATTATTCTTGATCAATTACATGATTAATACTGTGTTTGTTAAATTTCTTACTCCTTGAAGATATTTCTTTTAAAAAGCATGTTTAATGAGAACACCTCCATGATGAGAGTAATACAACAACTAGCTAAACTGACTCATACCTTTGATAATATAACCAACCAAGCCCCTTTTTGAGGTTTGGAAAGTGGTATTACTTTTTAAAGAAAGAAAAATATGCCACCTACAGGGTAAGAACTATAGGCTATGTTCAGGCAAAACTAGGCGCGTTCAAGTATTATGTTCTGTCTGTGTCGAGATAAAGATTTCGCGTACATGTACTCACTGTCTGCATGTACTTAAAGATAGCAATACAATTGCGACAATTATAACAAGAACACTATTTATAAAACAAGTACTGTAAATTTTTTATATATTCTTGGCATAATGCTCTCCTACATTCACATCATTAATTTTAGATGTGATTTATGTACTAAGGAATAAGGGCCACGACCACCGCAATATTGTTAAATTCTTCTCACCTTTCTTATCCATATCAGCGGCATATACAATCAGAGCATCGACTGGGCCACCTCGTATTGGAGGGCTCCCATCCTGTGTAAGAACAATTAATAATTTTTTATACACAGTAGTTATCATACCTCAATCAAATAAATCACAATATTAATTGTATGTATTGTAGAATGTTAATAACAAAAATCATAACATTATATGATAGTAATAATAGTAATAATAATATCAACAGCTCAAAAAAAAAAGACAAATATAATAATAAAAATAAATATAATAGAATTAGTTGGGAATGCAAGATTCAAACATCAAAATAAGTCAACAAAGTATCTGGTTTGGTAAAAATCTAAAAACCTTCAAACATTTATTTTCATTGTGAACAGATTGATATTTATAAATACAAGACCGCCAACCAGGACATCTGACTGGAATGCCTTCGAGTGCTAAAAGGCATTCTTACTTGTCTATCCTATTACAATAAACCAACCTGTTGACTTCAACTTACCGATGGGACAGCTTCTTCACTTCTTACAAGGTACTCTGATACATCTATCTTATTTAGAATTCCTCGGCCTTCGTCATCAAAATCTGCTTCTATTGCTGAAGGGTTTTCCAAACCACTAAATTTTAAAAAATGCCAATGAAAAGATGAAGATTTAATTAAATTTACAGTCAATGTATCAATGAATTCAGGAAATATGAACTATTTATTCAGAAACTATGGAACACGAACCATATATTGGGTAGCATGTTATTTTGGTGGGTCGCTTTTTAATATGATAATTACAATACAAAATTCTAGGTTGGAGTCTAGACAAAGTGTTTTCTTTTTAAAAACTTAATGTATTCAATTTAATAAAATCTATTAAAGCTAATAAATATCTATTGAATAACAACAATAATAATAAATAATAAAACAGCATTTATAATGCGCCGTCTATCTAGCGAACTATTCCGAGGCGCAGTGACTCTTGACGAAAAGAAAAAGGATTTACTAATTTTTATGTTATTATATTGAATAGTACACGATTAAACTCATTAGAGGCAGCGAAACATAACCTAAGTTTGTTGTGTTTACCAGCATGGGTCGTAACTCATTCCTCAAATAGCTTACTGGGTCATAAGCCAAAATGATTCCCGATCACTGTTTTAGATGAACAAAATGAAATTTGTGGGTAAGCAATTTGGTTTAACGATAGAGAACCTACATCAAAACTGTAATACAGCTTTTAACAACAAAGCATTTTGTAATTACTCTCACTTTCTGTAGATGTAGTGTGTTACCATAGCTGTTTTCTAAATGCATTTTTATAAATACTGTTACTTCTCTTTTTAAAATTTATCATTAAAATGACAAACAATTAAAACTCTTAGGAAACTTACGCTGATTTCACATCTTCACTACTGTAGATCATACTCTCAGATTTTTTCTTAAGTTCTAGATTTTGAGCACGAGACCTCTCAGGACTTGAGTAGAGTCGTTGTCTTTCCAGCTGTAAAAAAAAAAAAAAAATGCCAGAACAAAATGAGTGGAATACTTGGCAATTCAGAAAAAAAGGAGCCTTGTTTGTTTATCTTTTATTTATTTATTTAGGCACACAACACATGCACCAAATATTGTCCATAGCGAACACATTAATGTCCTACTTGTAGGTGACAAACCCTTTCACAAGACAAACATACACACAATGCTTTACACAAATTAAATGTCAATATGAGATTTAGGGAGTGGAGTGTTATTGGTCGTGAGAAAAACTCCTGCAACACTGACAGAAATTGAACCCAGGACTCTGGGACTGGAAGGCAAGCATTTTAACCAACAAGCGATTCAATTCCACCAATGATGTAGTAAACGTAACCTTTTGGGGATTGAAAAATGTTGTAGCAATAGTTCCACTGTATTCCAAATAGTTCTACTGTAGGTTTCCAAAAATAGTCACTGGCTTCTTCCTTAAAACATATACATATCCTAACAGTATTATATATCACTAACATAGAATAATGAAAACATCCAAAGCTATAAATATGTTCCACGAATAATAATCACCTTATATATGTAAGCTGAATAGTCTATTGTACGGTCAGGCAGTTTAACGACGTATGTGCCGTGGTAGCCAATAAGATTTAAGAAGGAAGTATAGAAATGGATATTATGTTATACACTACTTTCTTACTATAGTTTTGATGTATTTTGACCTTAAAAGGTAACATGCTACATATAATTTTCCTCACAAGGAAGTTACTTGATCAAAATAGTATTCTAATATAATATTAACTAATGAAAATGATATTTTAGTACCATTATATTAAGGGACAATAAAACAAATTAAAATATACCTATTTAAATGGAAAGTACAAAATAATATACACTATTAATGCTTGCAGTACACCACATAAATAGTTCTGAAAGTACTGCTGTTTGTTGTACTAAATAATTACAATTAAATTTTTTAACAAAAAAAAAAAAAGAAACAAAAAATACTTACTCCAGCCATATCCTTCATTTTAATTGGTAGTGATGGAGGCAAGGTGCTTCCTTTAGGAGTGTCGCAAATATCCGTAGGGAATGGTGGTGTTTCATCAGGGAATGAAGACATAAGAAAATCCAAAGACCTCCGTTCACCTGGCTGGCAGGCAGGCATTCTACCAGACACAAACGATGCCTGAAATTGCTGCTCCGTGTACCCATCAATTAGACCAAGATAATTATTAACTGGAGGAAAAGAAAATTTACTGTAAACTAATACAATAAATATAGGGTAGACATACAAAGTAATTGGAGGCAATGGTTTTTTTTTTGTTTTTTTTTTGTTTAACCTGATAATATTAGGTTAACAGACTTTTACTCCAAAGGTTCCTACTATATGCCTCTATTTTTAAAAATAATTACTAATTTATGGTGCGTATGCCTCTTCTCCATCAAGGACTGGGGATACCTACAATCATAGGTGATATATAAAAAAAACCATACCCTATACTTCTCATTTTAAAATTAATTATTGAAATAATATATTAAAATATATAAAAGAACTTTATGGTGGAACTCACTGTGACGTGGTGCCTCTTCTCCACCGTCGATCTCGTCCGAAGGAATATCAAAAACCATATCCGTAGGGAGAGAGCAGTGTTCACCATCAATAGACAATAGACTTTTTCTATTTGTGTACATAGGCCCATCATCGTCTGTCATATTATCATAATCAGAAAGTTTACGGCCTAGTACATTCCGCTGTTTTTCAGGCAATGCAGGTGGTGTATCACTTAGGACACCTGCATCAGATGTTTCTGAACCCGATTCATAACTTGCCGATAAGGGATGCAAATGAATACTTTGTAAATGATCCGGAAGCGGAGACGGTCTCCGATTCTCTTTATCAAACAATATTTGTGAAGATTCTAGCGAGACTCTATCCTCGCTGGTTGTGCTGGATATCTGACTACTGCGTTTGGAATCTGTCCGGCTTACTGAGCCACTTGAGCTACTCATGTCCGACTGGTGACTCATCAGAGAGCCAGAACTACCTGAGCTCGACCGGTTTAAATTTGTTGAATATCTTAATTTGGGCGGCAATGCCGGTGGAATTTCGTCAGACCTGGAAAAAAAATTCACACTCCCAATTAGAAAATGAAGATTTTTGCATGTTTACATCAACCAACGTTTGAAGGTCTATGCTTGATACGATGATAACATCTTATGTTCCTATCATTATTTATCTATTTGTTTAACCAGCATAAATGCATAAACATTGTTCAGGACAATATAAAGATGTGCATGTGGAAAAGTAAAGTCATGTTAGCATTGGATAAATTTTGGTCAAACTAACCATGTACCTGGCCCCTTTGACTGAAACAAAAAATCAAGTGCAAATAGTCTGGATAACATTATCCTTGGTTGAATTAGCCAAGGTTCGTGTCAAGTTTAACCCAGTGAATGCTGTCCAGGAAGAATAACGAGGCTGGTTACCAAACAGGAAATTTCAATGTAAACAGCATGATTCTGGTAACTTTTCCAGAAGGCATGCGCAAAATCTTAACTAAAAACTAGAGTGCATTTAAGTCCAAGTGCGTATAGCAATACAATTTGACCAAGGAAGATTTATGCACTTGCAATCCTGTGGAGCTAACTCAGCATCGGACCATTCCCTTCCAAATTGTCACTTCCTACTAGGTACCCATTAATAATCTTGGATGAAGAGTGGCATACTGGATAAAGTGCCTTTCCTACGCACATGTGCAATATCAAAGCCTCCTGCTCCAACTGACAATCTGATTCAGGATTGAAAGATCAAAGTTTCAATCCCTTGTGCATTTCGCTTGTGTCAGTGCTACTCTCTACCCAGGAGTATAAATGGGTACTAAGGAGGTTTGAGTGAAAAAGCGCTGATATTCATGCGGCAAGCTATGGAATTTCTCCCATAAGCATCGTTCCAATGACTGAGGTAATAATGTGGAAAAGCGCTCTGAGACCTGTGTGTAGAGTGCTATATAAAACATACACATTTTCTGTTTTTAAAACTTACATATCCAATGTCTGTTGAATTAAAACTCTGTTTTCAGGAAGAAATGGCTTTGGAGGAGCGGTGGGATCCTCTCCTGGGTCACTATGACAACCATTATGAATGTCTCCCTCTGATGACCAAGTTATTGGTGTATTTTCTAGTATCTCCCGTTCCTTTGGACTTAACGGAGGTGTATCGTAATCATTAGAAATACTGAAATGACAAGATACAAGGTAACTTTATTGGGTGTAGAAAATATTAAGAAATACATACAAAGTTAGAATTTTATGCAGAAATATAAATATAAAGGAAAAAAAACACAATTTACAAGGCAAATAAACAGATACCTACTAATACAAATAATGCTGTTCCTCTCTTTTTCGCATAGGCCCTTGAAATAGCTACTATGAATTTATAGACTGTAATTTTACTTGTCTGACTAAAATTTTATAACTTATTTATTCATTTATATAAGCATTTCAATGGTTTAAAGTTTTCTTCATTTAAAGTTTCCTTCAAAAATTTTACATTATTGTAGTATGTTTATTTAAAATCTTTATATCATAGGAATACAATTTATTTGTCAAAACAATCAACACCATGCTACCATCGTAAAAATATGTAATCTTACTCTGCTGGATCTAGTGATGATATTCGATGCACCCTTGCTTTTGATACCGGTGCAGGTGTATCAGAATGACGACGTTTGGACTCTTCCTTCTCCTCCAACTTAGTTACAGTCAGCTTGACCAGGTTGGACACACCCTCGGCCATGTCCTTTGCTATTACCTCAATGGAGGCCTTATCAATATCCTTATGGCCATTTAACATCATCTTGTCGGCCCAGTGTATGAGCTTGGCTAAATTCTGGTATACCCGACTCTGTTCTGACATTAACATGGTACTGGAAGAAATAGCAATAAATGCAGGTAACAAATTACACCATCAAATTTATATACTGTGTCAGATTACAAGATATAAAATGTTATCGTTGATATAATCCGAATGTTTGTACTTAACAGCATACAATTAGCCCTGTATGTAAACAGATCCTTTAATAGTCAAAGGCTAGCAAATGCCATTACAGAAGATCTGTCATAAACTAGTACTAGTTAGAAGCAATACCAACAACTCTTGTCTAATAAATAAACCAATACAAAACACTAACAATAACAACAAAAGTGAACACCAATAATTGATATAAAAAAATATTATATAAAAAGACATGGATTCCCTTACCTCTCTTCATTATTTAAAGCAGTTTTAAGGATTGTGTGCAGTTCGATCACTTTTTGGAGAATATCTGTTGCTGAACTTGACACCATTACTCCTTTCTGTATTACTTCTGCAATATAGTATCAATATTAATATTGTTATTGTACTTACTGTTATGCTTATTGTCGATGTCAAAGCCAAACCAAATTTCTCTGTATGATATGTATATTGACAAATAAAGTTATCTTGAATATTGTATATATTGAATATTTAGGTTTTAAGTTTTTAGTTATATTTAAGGATTACAGTATTGATCCACCTCAACTCCTAAAGCTTAATTACCTATCATGCTAAATACTTTACTTCAGTCTTTCATCATTAGCCTGGGTAAACTAGCTTTGTTATGAAAAATTGTTACACTTTTGGCTCTTGAAAACAACTAGTGACAATTTGATTTAACCCACACCCAATTATCAAAAATCAATCAGATATATTCAATTAAAGAAATTAATTAAAATTAACAATACTAATTGTTAAGTAATATAAACAATTGATGGTTTATGGATTAAGTTGTTTACTTACGTTGAAACCATGTCAGAGACCGGGATAATTCCTTTTCAATAGATTGGATACGGTCAACATCCTATAAGAAAAAAAATAGACTATACATAAGTCAACTGATAATATAACGCTCAAGTCTTTATTTATTGTATTTTTAAGTTTCATGTATAGTACAGCACGAATCCAAGTCCCTCCATTAAGGTATAAGGTAATATTATTAAGATGAGCAGATGACAGATGAGCATATATTGCCATCCAAAAAACCAAGAAAAACCTTTAAAAAAATTTAAAGAAAGAATACAAATTATTTTTAGATAATTTACAAGAAGTGTTTTGATAAATCCTTACATCTGTCAGATATATAAGGTTATGCAACAAGGAATAATGATGGTAATATTTAAATGTCCATTAATTTTCTACTTCATTTCTTATAAGTAGCAGAATATATTTCATGAAGATCTGGTAATGACATTCATCCAGACGTGGTGTATGTAAAAAATATACATTCTCTTTGATTTATCTTACTCCTAAATGTATTTCCCTGAATTAGATTATTTCATGTGTCATCAGGGGATCAGGTGCACATAGTTCTCACATGAATTATGGTCCCAGGAGTCAGACTGTCCCTGAAAGCATAGAAGAATGGCACATTGACCTTCGACATTCGATGTCATACCTACTTTCTTTTATTGGTTTCGCATCATTTACACAAAAAAATTTAATCCAGAAAATGAGAAAATTATTATGAATTCATTGAATTATTAACATCGAAGTTAAATGACTATGGTTCATTTTGCAATTGTTTTTACTTTGCAAAAAGTGTGTATTTGATTATATCTGTCAACAATCACAAATCAAATACAAATTCAGATGTTTTTTCACATACAACATACAAGATAATTATTTTACTGTCCGAAAAAATCAGGAAAAAAACATGATATTAGGACCTCACAAACAAATTACCAGTAAATAAATAAAATGTTGATATTTACAAACATTTCCAAACTGACTCAACATCAAACTAAAGTTCCTCAACTGACGGAAGAATAAAATCAAATGATTTACCTTTTCAACAATGACTGAAATTTTAATCTTATGACGATTTAACGTCATGATGTTGGACACAAGCTCAGAGTAATCAAATTGGTACATGATTAAAACAGGAAGAGATTAACCAAGAACTAAAATCAAATTAAATATTCCAAGAAAAGATTTCTCAAATATTGTAGCTATAGAAAATTAACCATTTCCTGGTAGACAAACTTGTATATTTCCTTAAGTCCTGGTCAATGAAAAAAAGCTGGTATTAGTTGACCAGCAGCATATACATTCCTATGCACATTCAATGCTATGATTGTCAAATCAAGCCAAACTAAAATGCTGATAAGAATATGGAGAATGAATTCCGGAAGTATTTTAACAGGAAGGGTGCAGGAGGATGAAAATACTACTGCAAGAAAGGGAAATCCAGGTTTAGAATGCGAAGATCTGGAACTCGATAAAATTACATAACATTTCAAACAATAGGACACAACTCTTGAATCATGCTGTTCTGTGTAACACTTTAGAACCCTTGTCACGCAGGTTTTTACAGATGTTTGTCTTCAGTTGAAACTATGTAGATGGCAAACCAGTACTCAGGAATAGGAAACACACTACTTAGTCAGCACCACTCATGGCACAGCGTACTGACGTCTTTATTTCACTGAAATGATTCAGTGTACTGAAGGTGTAAACCTGTTAGCAGAATTAAACAGTAATAAACCTCTGGCTGATGACGTATATACCTGCATCTTGGAGAAATGACATCAACTTGTTCACTGATGCCTTCAAACAAACTTTAATTGCCTTGATTTTACATCGTTAAATACTTGTATTAATTATCAGGATGATAAACATGTTCAGGAAAATCAGTTTCATAGACTATTTTTACCTTCATAATGACAAACATCTTCCTAGTATAAACAAATTTAAATACTATCTGTCTTTAACAAACTTCATTTGTAAAAATTCATCAATGTGTTTCACTGATTTATATACATTTTATTTTGACAATCCTTAATACCTTCAATAAAATTACTACAAATTAAAGTGTCCATGCAAAGGAATGGTAAATTATTTAAGTTACAACTCTATGATTTATGCATCTAAATATACTTGGCAGAAAATTTCTTTTTCTAATCTTCAATTCATAATGTAATAATGTAAGCACATATTTAATTGTACTACTATTAGTACAACTCTATGCAGTACTGCATCTTTAAAATATCCATTGGTATACAGTACCTATTTTCTCTTTATTTCCGAAGCTAGTTTGAGCTAACAAAAGCTGATGTTTTATTAAAAATTCTGTTTGTCTGAACAATGTTTGTTTGTATTTCTTATGTTAGTATTCTGTACTTTTGCACCCGCACAAAAGCGTACCTTGTACTATAAAGATGAAATAATTTGATTAGAATGTACTCATATCTAAGAAACAGGTTATCCATGAGTGGTTCCTTCTCAGCTGTTCTACCATCTGACAAGTGAATTAACCTCTCATTAAACATTATTATTATCAATAACATACAATACCAGCTGTACTTTTGATATGAATTTTATGTTAAATGCTACACGATGAAGTGTTGTGTTGGAAACACTGACAACGGCACAAAGGTCAATTAGAATACAAACTTGACAACTTTAACATCCTCATTAAACTCAAGTGCTTTAGAGTGCAAAACCAAGTAAAAAATGTTGTTTTTCCAAGTATTATTTCAATCAATTATTAGTACAAAAATTGACATCAAGACTGAATTTCGATGTGAAAAAGTGTTGGAGACCTAACATGTGTTTCCTGCCTATCGCACTTCTATAATCCCAAAATACATTCTGAAACCGTCTTATCCCATCGTTTCAAAATCCCAGGGTACTATAGCCTACAGTAGGCAATTCATTGGGTAGATGCTAATGTATTGTTAGCAAAACAGTAATGATTGAATAATAATTCAACACAATGAATGAATAAATACTGTCCTCACCAAAGAATTTACAGTAATAGGGGGGACCAGAAACTTTTAATTAGCAATGGAAGTACATAATTATAAGAATACAGTAAGTAGATGTGGTTTATTTCATTTCATTTATTTATTCAGACAAGTGTCTTGGGGCCCCAAAAGCAACAAAATCACCATGACAAAAGTCTGGAGCCCCAGAAAACAAAACTGAACTACATTTAAATTCTCATAAAGCACAATAAAATGTGAGAGGGCCCTCTATAGTAATTCTTGTTAGTTACCTTCCTATAATTGTGATTTAGGCTTAAAATGACAATAATCTTCAGCCAATTGTAATTCAATTATTTCCAATGCATTTTATTTAATAAAATGTTTATCATTACTTAATATAAGGTACCAAATAGACTGTAATGTATAATAAAATATACAGTACTTTACGTACAAAATGTTATGGTCAGTAGAAATTGCAGGAATTCAAACATGCAGACTTCAGTACGATTTGTAATTTGTAAAGTGGATTTAGAGGAAGCGACAGATTACTATTTAAGGTAGAAAATAGACCGTTGAAGCAAGGCTATCAATACTTCAGTACCATCATGACTTCATTTCCTTTCATTCTTTCAACACTTTTCATTACCTGATGTTAATCCAAACATGGAATAAAGACCTGTGTGTTAGTCATACTTTTTATACTTGTTCCTTATCACAATGGCTCTGTTCCATTAATTTATAATATCCAGGGGATTACGTGGTGATAATAGGATAAATAACTTATACTACAACTTATTTATTACACTTTGTAACTTAATCTATAGTTTAATCATTCTTTGAGAGTTAGCATGTGATGTCAACCCAGAGAAATCAAAACTTTCAAATAAGGTGAAACACATTTTATCCATTCTAGAAATATAAGAAATAAATAATAAATTAAAACCTACTATCTTAAAGCTTTAATATGTGATATTCATAAGGTTGTAAATTGGTGGAATGCACTCCAAATTTGTAGACCAATTACAAAGAATGCATTTGAAGAGTGCTTGGAGACAGACTTATGGAAATGAGACTGTCTGGTAGGATAAGTAATTTGATAGTTCTTCTGGAATGCACACGCTATTGCACTGGGGACGTTGGCAATAATAACAAAAGAACATAAAACAAATTATACTGAAATAAATCATAAATGTAGAAATAAGCTAAAATCACTGAAAAGTTCATTTCTACAGTAAACACTTTTATCAGTTGCCTGCATCATCTTGAGCATCTGACTCCCTTTCCCTCTCTACAATATTTCAATACATCCTACACTTTAAACAAAAGATGTACACTTTGGTGAAATATAGAAAATCTTAATTCAATATAATAGAGGACCCCTTCATATCAACCATGCTGAAAGGACTACCCATTAAAATTAGAAAAAAATATAAATAAATAAATAAATAAACAAATTAATCAATCAATCGATCCACACATGTAATATAGCACTCAAGTGTGAAAATGTTTTGTTGTAGCTAGTGGCTATTTTTATTTTCATAAAGACGTCAGTCAACCATACCGTACTTTCATTGTCGGTTTCATTTGAGGGAAAAATATATATATCAAAAAAAAAAACATCTTCATCCTGCTTTTTATGATCTTACGGTATATGATTGATCATACATAAACATCAATAGCTAGCAAAAAATGTAGAAAGCAATCTATATATTCAATGTTGAAGTAGAAACCATCAACAATAGGAAGTGAAACCAAACAAAACTGAATTCGTCAAATATTTCCAGTTATTAAAAAATTATTTATAGAGACAAGTAGTACAATACAGTTAGTACTGTACATAACTTGAGGTGGAAGAAATTTATTGACTTTTGATTGTTATGATACAATCAAAAAACAAAAATGTATGGTTAACTGGCAATTGTTTACTCAATATGTTTAAAAGTGTTCTCATCCAAGAATATTAAGAGGTCAAAAACATAAAATAGGCTTATAAGAGGAATTTACATAATAATAGAACAAGCACATTAGCCCTTTAATCGTGTCTAAAAGGGATGGCTGATTAGGTTTTTTTGTCTTATTCCATAAAAAAACTAATAATAAAATTCAATAAAATGACATGAAAGCAATCAGGGATCTAATCAAAACCATTATGAACATGTTTTTAATATGTACAGGGTTTTTAATGAAAACTATATTATAAAGAGGGGAAACATTTTTTTTTAAAGTGTATAGAGAGTAGCAACAGAATGGTTGGTACTGTATTGTACAGTAGCCTATCTTGAAAACGCACTTGCAGTAGCAGTCCACATATTAAGTCAACTCTCTAATCATTTAGACAGATAGAGCAAAGTACTACTGTATGCTAAAGCATTGTTAACAGTATTTCCTTCATCTAGTATTATACAGTACAATGATAACATTTTGAGGCCTCTTAGCCTAGAATTAATGTTGTTAAGGTAAACGTAAGTAGCACTAAATATCCAAGCATGATGATCATGTCTTTCTCGGTTTTAAAAAACAATCCATGTATTTGTTGCAAGATAGCCCCATGGGAAGGAGATCAGTGGCAGTGCCAGCGGGGGGACAGCAGGGACTTAAGCACACTCCCCCACCCCCATCACATCACATATTTACTGTAGGTCAATCTACCGGAGGGAAATTTTTACCAGGACACATTTTACATTTTTAAATAACCTATACAACAGTACTACACATACCATTTCAAGTATATTTTGAAGGAGGTGGTTTTAACAGTAAACGAAAGCAGTGAATAACTTCCTGCCACAGTGTAAAACAACAGTTATTGTCAACTGTAAACTATAACCACAGTTTCGAATCGGTGAGAAAAGCTACAGGAATGAGGCAACTAATGTGTCGAGGTGAGTTGAATGGCCGAGCGTTTAGCAGGGGCGCCGCAAGCTATAGCCATAATATCAGCGCTGGTTCGAACGGAACGCTCGCCTATGGTTCTGGTGGTAAAACAAGTCTTCTCGGATAAGGACTATAAACCATAGGCCCAGTGTATACAATAGCTCGTGTGCACTATAAAGAACCCAGTACATCTTTCAAGACGAGTAGGGGGATACCCCGGTGTACTGGAACAGACAGCCCCTGTGGTGGACGACGTGAGTTGCTGGTACCGGGTTACCGGGTAGCACAGACACCAAGGGACCCTTAGGGGCAAAGGTCTTTGGTCGAGTTCCTAGTCCACATATCAAGCGCCCTGAGCATCTTACATTAGATGGATATGTGCACTATATAAAACTACACTATTATTATTATTATTATATGTATCAGGCCTATAGCGTACTACAGTGTTACGTCACGACACCATGTGATACTACTCCGTTGCTATCGTTGCAAAAAGCGTTCAACCGGACGCCATTTTCTTTACTGACAAACCATTGATCCAAATTTCTAACGTAATTATTAAGATGTTGTATCTTACTTTTTCATTGTAAATTTTAATTGATGATTAAGTGTGTGTTCGATAACTAATATAATGCGAGCTTTTGTGTTTTTAGTACATTTTGATGGTAAAATATTAGATTTTAAAATGCCTATTCCAGAAAGCCTATGAAGTCATTCAGGCGTAATGAATGGTAACCAACGGTAGAACGTAATGACGTCACTAAAAGTCATCTGCGCATGCGAGAACGTTAAGGTCACCTCGTCGAGCAGATTGTGGAACGCAATTTGGCAAAATCTGCGTACGCAGAGTACGTAGGACGCCAGGTAAGACGGCCACGCATGAGTAATTCCGTTCCAGCGTCGCGTCGTCGCACAAATCGAAAGTTCCCTATTACTAGTAATGATGAACAAAAATTATATTTTAGCAGAAGAGAAGAGATTAAGAAGAACTTGGAGTGAACACAAAGGCTTGAATATTAGAAGTTACAGATGAAACCTGGTATCCAAAGAATTACATGCTACAGAAGAAGAAACAATATTTATCATAATTTTCAAGTAGTTATGAAGTAGATGTTCCATTACAATTATTAGTGTTATGCATCACTGAACTTGGTACTCGTAGCCTCCACTAGAATTAAGGGACTGAGTCATACAGCTCCATGGCCTTACAAACCTGCATCAATATATTAGTCATTCAAATTAGTAAATCATAATTGATAATTTATTACACCAACGACATAAACACTTATTTTTCTATCTTTGGCTTAGCACTAATTCCTTGACCGGTAATCACCCCAAGGATAAGCATGTCCCAATGTGACTCTATTGATAGCAACATTTTCATCCAAAATGTAGTGTAAAAAAAGAACATTAATAAACGATGCTGTCTGTATAAATATTAGTAAAAATTATTTATTACTATATAATATAGTAGTTCCTCATAGGCCTATTTAAACCTGTTGAGGTTATTAAGAAAAATGCCTGTTCTGTATTTCTTTACAGAATTAGTATAATGTGAGAGATGTTTTTAGATTTGAAAATTAGGCTATACAACACATTTGCTAATGTTTGAATCTGACTGTTAGAACAAGACTCAATTGTTTGATAGAGATAGAGTCCCACTATTTTTAAACAGTGAAATATTGTTGTTGAGTTATCCATTCTACAAAGAAACTAAACAGATCAACCAAACAATTTAATTATGGAAATAAATCCATATTGATCTTTAACTCTTCAATAAAAATCCCTCACCAACTGGTAGCAGCCAGTATTGGCAATCACTGAAAATGGATCATATTCCATTTAACCAGCATGTAGCAGGAACTGTTTACCTTATAAGCTCGTTCATTAGACATAAACAATCCAGAAATAAAACGAGCCAATTAAATCCTATTCAAAATATGTACATTAGATTTGAATTCCTGGATGAGATGTCCTACACAAACAATTTTAAGTGGGATTAATAAAAGCAGGTCAAACGCTGTCGGTATTGGGCAACCGTATGTAGGAGTGGTGATAGCACGCATTACTGTGTGTCAGTCCAATTAAAATTGTATTATATTTGACAAACATATATGTTTACTTTTACTCCCACTTGTTCATGAAGATTAATAAGTACTATATGCTATAAGATTTCTGTGGCTGTGAACAAGATCAGTAAATGAACACATGCAAAACATTCCACTGTGAAACATCTTTAACTGTAAAGGACTATAACACAAAAAAAATTCAAAGCTGAGTAGAGAAACTATTCTACCAATAAAGATAATTTATAGCTACAGAATCTTCCAATTTAGCATATTTTAATATTTGTATCATATAGTATTCACTCCTACCAGCCTCTCAATAAAATACATAACATAGATAAACACTGTTGCAGTGTTGCACACTGTTGCAGAACTTTCAACATATGAAAGTAAATGAAGATAATACACAGACTTTAATAAGTTTTTACCAATTAATGTGAAATAAGAAACTCTGTATAGCACCAGCAAGTCTCCCTTGACATAATGTATACTTTACTTGTGAAAACCTGTTCTTGTTTGCAACAATACTGTATTCTTTTGCCATTTTCTGAGAAACATTCCTTCCAATGAATTTAAATGTGAACAGAAATAAGTGGTCATCCTCAGAAATATACTTACTGTTCTTTTTCCTTTCTTTTCCTTTTTGTTAGGTTAATTTTTTACCTTTCTTTTACTTTTATTTTCTTTTGTTATACTTTCAATTCCTCTTTCTTAAACATTTGTTGCCATTTTTTTCCTCTCTTTTACTTACTTTTCCCTTTTTCTCATTTCATTTTTCCCTTTCTTTTTGTTTAATATCGCTACCTCATTACGTTACCTAATTAGCTTTCAATTGAAGATTGTAACAAGAAAATATTTTTCCAACATTCAGTACTACAATACAGTAGTGAAAAAAAGTTGTCCTATGTTCTTTTAATAGGTCATTAAATTAATAGGCTGGTGGTAAGCAATGAATATCAATCATTTTTACATAGTAATGTAACAAGTCAGTTTAATCTGCCAAATATTTAATCCGACAGATATTTTTCCCTGTCTTTACCATAATCTCAAATTTAGCCATCATTGGAGAATATTATAAGCTAGTATTTTTAGCACAGATTTAAAATGGTTTTTTTTGTTTTGTTTTTTTTAAATTATATATATATATATATTTTTTTTATTCAAATTATATTTTTAAAGATTTATTTATAAGAAACACTGTATAGGATGGAACTGTGATGGTATTTATCTGATTTCAACCATTCAAAAATGCTTTTGCCTTTGTTAAAACTAGATCCTTTACTTGTTTTCAATAGAATTGGTAGGGGTCCTACCATCATGCTACCACATATCGGTAAACTAAATTTACTGATCAGAGCTGTCTCACCAGTCTCTTGGAATTTGATCTATGGAAGTGGACAATGAATATGACAGTTCAGTACTGATGGTTTGCAGTGGAAGTTAAGCTCCTTTGTGAATCATTGGTCATTGAAATACGATATATTTGGGCCAGGCTGATTTGGGTACCCTGTTCTATCTTAGTTGGAGCTAGCCCGAAACTACCACCTAGAGTGTAGTAGGCTTGGGCGTAGTAATTTTGCACGCTCTGGCAGTAGACTTTGTAGACTAGGTTAGTCATTGGTCATATACAGTAGCCACCGAAAGTCTCCTTATTATACCAGGAAGTCTTGATGAAAATTAAGTGGACTTGTTTTAATTTAAGAAAACCCTCATTTCGTATAGGATTAAAGCCTGGACCTGCCTGGAAAGGCAAACATCATGCTACAGATCAACATAGAACCATATTTCCTTTTTATTCTTACTTAGTAACATTGACAGAGTTGTTTTGGGCTTCTGTTAAACAAGAGAGAATGAATACAAAACAATGCAACCAACCTTCTCCATAACCTTTTTTGGTGGACTGGGATTAGGTAGTATAGCTTTTTTAGCCTTTTTACGTGTTAATGTCATGCTCTTAAATTGTAGGCTTGCTGGGCTATCTCTCATGGTTATCTTCTTCATAGTCTTGGTAAATGTCGAAGGCAATGTCTTTGATGCATAGTTGCTCTTGCTGGAATCTATAAGAGTACAGAATAATAAAAAAAAAAATAATTGTCACATTTTTAATGAATTCTTAAGCAATGTTAAAATTATAGGCCTTGAAATAGACGGGATCCAGAGAGGGACTTTCACAGATGGAGAGTATAGACCAACTCAGTCCCCCCATGGTAAGAAAATGTATGATTATGGCACCTCTAGATGGCTGGAAATATCAATTTCAGACCTAAATTTTATTATAACTTCCTTTTTTTAAATTTTATTTTATAACCTTGAAAAATGTAGACGGTCTGAACAGCTTCCCCTCCACCCATTGGAATCCACCACTGCTTACCTACAACCATAACATAAAAGTACATTTGTTACAAATATTATAGGTATTCAGAACAGCTCTTGTATTTGTTGTTTTGTCTATTCTGAATAATAACGGTATGTATTTAATGGAAGTTCCAATTGTTCAGTTCTATCAAGATAGATACTAAATATAACTAAAATTATTAATCTGGTTGTGATATTAAGTAATGTATAGCAGACAACTGGGAATGAATGATCTACAGAGATTCTCCATAATTCTATAGGAATTTGCAGGAATATAATTCAGCCATAATAATATTCACAAATATATCACTGTAAAAATGCAATACTTCAATGGTATTTGTCCATCATTTTAGCATGACAGGTATACACAATGAGACCCATGGGCCTGTTCAAAGAAAAGATTGTCTGTCTCTATTGAATAAAAAGGCACATAATACCAATAATCACAGCTATAGAATTTACAGTAGTTTATATTACTTTCAGTATAAGAGATACAATATAATATTCCACACTAGGTATAAACTGTGTCTGTCCAAAGAGGTGTAAACTATTACTCCTTGGGGCTGCCTACCTTTGATAATATCAAACCAACCCATGAGCATAATGTACAGTACAAAAATCCAACAAACAAAATTTTCACTGCATTCCACATATAAATCCAGGATTCAAATCTTGACAAGTAAAAAATATGGTTAAACCAGAGTGTCAGCAAACCCAGAGACAGTCACACATATAGGCCTTATGTACAGAAATGGTAAAACAGCCACAAATACACGGTCACTTGAACATTGGACAGCAAAGTGTTGTATTTTGAGCTGCTTCTGTACAGCCTCCATACACCATGACTTACCAGAACCGTATGAGTTTCGTAATCGGGCAGTTGGGATAAAAACTGATAAGAAAGTAGGCTGAACAATAATACAAGCAATGAGTCACTAAACAAGGAAGTAGTGGGCCAATGGAGGTGAACCGTGACCAATACTGTATGATAACTCAATAACAAACATTGGTGTCACATGTCAGGCTGGTACATAGTCTTTGACTTTACCATAAAGTACAAGATTGAGTTTCATTGTTATTTATAATCACAGAAACTTACACAACTTACAGCATAACTACTATAGAGTGTTATTGACTGTGTGATTCTTAAAAAAAAGATGAATTACACTATTTTATATACTGTACTGGTGTATCTCCATTCACGCTACTTAATTGTTCAGTGACTTTTTCCTCTTCAAATAATAATAACTATGTAATAACCAATTGCAATGAAATCCTTTAAATAACAGCTTGGGCGTGCCAATGTTTACGGAGTGGGTGATCATTAAGGCAAGGGTGCTGCTAGCTAGAGCCTTTAGGGCGGATCCAGCCTGGTAAGAAAGAAAGGGTGGGAGAAGGGGGGAGGGGTGCGAATGTGCAAACTGACCCCTCTGGAAATAAGTCCCTAAAAGGGACTTAGAGGGTTATCCTAATATCTCTTTTCGTTTTTTGCCTATTTTTCGTATATCAACGAGATATTCTATGTCTGTATGTAATTCAAAAGATATTGAATAAATCAAATCAAAATGAGTCTCAGGGAAGAGCCCCTGGTGTTCAAGGGCTAAATCCTCCTGAAACCTTTAGTACCTTCAATAACTTGAGTTCGTATTTGATTGATTTTTACTATTTAGCATAGTAATTTTCTGATAAGCTTTACAACAAAAATTGTTTACAAAATCTGCCATTGTGATAGTGTGGATTCAAGACTCTCCTTGCCCAGGGTTCAGTTGGACGATTAGAACCGAAACTTCTCTGTAAAGGGCTTAAAACCAGAGGTACAGTACACATCTGTCTTGTGTGCGCTAGGACACTTTGAACTGGACTGGAAATGACTGATTTTTTGTACATTGTGACTGTCAGATATGCTTTTGTCGTGATATCAGTGTTTACTTTATGCCCAAAATTGGCAACTTAAAAAGACTGACTCAAATGTAATACTCAAACCATGCGTTGATAAAGCAAATAAATATTCTACCAGTGCCATTGTGTGCTACTATATAAGCTAGTGACGCCAATAAAACATCTGAGTCGTATCCTCTGTGATATTGCCAGCCTTATCAAGTGGAAAACGTGGTTTTCAGCCTTCCCCTTGATATCACTGAATATTGGTATAAAAATGGTAATGCTTCTTACACTGCATCACATCTATGTACAGGTATGGTACTAAATAATACTGTACACTTGTATTATAGGCAAAGTATTCATTGTAAACAAAAAGGTTTTAAACATTATGGAATATGTATAGTACATGATTATGACCAAGTGACTAAAAGCCAGATATGATTTAGCAAAAGTTAGAAAACATTTTTTTACAATAAAGTATACACTCTAAAGAAGAATTCATTCTTTAATTTCAAAGCATTTCATTAATGTTTTGATTAAAAAAAAAGTTTTACATGTACTTTCAATTCATTAGTTTTATTTGCAACAGTATTCACTTAGTTTCCTTGATCAAATATTAAAAATACTCAATTATCCTCTCATACTATTCATCCAACCCTCACCCCACTCCAAAACTCTGAATAGTTGACAAATGCACTCTCTGGAATCCTATTTTTATTGCAAAAATTTGAAATATAATTATTATCATTATTACTAATACATACAGGTAGCTCAATTGAATTTTATACCAAATAATTATCAAATAAATATATAGCAACAATTTAATAAGCAATAATTTAAATGTTAATTTTAACCCCAGGAGCAGTTTTAAAACATAAGTATGTACTGTACGTTTCACACCTAGAACTGACCTGCAATTAATTTATCAATATAGACAAAGTGTTAATAAGTTATTTGCTTTAATTAGGTCACGTTTTCCTCCGTGATGGTCTGTGAAATATGATAACCTAGTGTCTAAGGATGTACCTTGTAAAGGGGTCACTGAGTAATTCAATTATGAATAAAAGAAATATGATTTAATTGCTAATCGACATATTTTGTATGAAAGAAGTACTGTACCGCATTACTGTATAAAAAATCCAGCCATTAAACTTTTATCAGAAGTGTGTCTTAAATTAAATACAACATCTGGGTATACACTTCAGAGCAAGCCACCACCATTCAATCAATCGATCAATCAATCATTTATATAGTTTAATTGGATTGTGAATTTGATAAATTTCTTTTTTTGTATTGTTGCTACCTTTGGTGTAATTTTTTCTGATATTTATAACATATATATATATATTTTTGTTGTAAACCAAGGATTTCAGCCTACGGGCTGCCTGTTTTGGTGTTATATTTTTATACCGTGAATAAATAAATAAATAAATATGGCACCATTCCAGCAGTTGTTGCTTGTGGTGCCGTAAGTGCAGTAAGTAAATGGGGAGGGGGGAGCCGAGGGATGGGACGAGGTGGCACATAGCTGCCAGAGTCCTCATTGTTGGTGTTTGGTCCAAGGCCCAAAATGAGACCTGATGCGAAACTTCCATAAGCTAAAACCTTTTCTGTATGGCCATTTTAAACAGTTATTAGGCAGTTTACGCAAGAGGAGGGGGAGCCGTTGACAGCAGCAATTTGGGTTAAATCCGGTGTTTACTGTGGCCTTCACACTCTGATGAGCACAGAACCAACATCCACCCATCTTCCCATCCTGTTGTGTAAAGTGCCAATTGAGTAGTCATTGAAAATGATGTCATTTTCTCATCAATGCCTATGACAAGCCCTGCCTGTCCCCACTCTCATGTTACTGACCGCCAATTTGAAATAAAGTCACTGGTTACTGTGCCATATTCTGGTGGTCATTCAGGTGCAATAAAATCTACTGTTAAGCCCTAGTCTTAAAAATGCTACCAGTTTCATTTTGTGCTTATCGTACTGACTATAGTAGTACTGTATGTTAACTATTTATTAATTGGTATGTCTAACGGTGGCCCATCACATTGGATTCACATCCCTCAAGAGACCACCGTCATCCCTTCGCTTTAATAAATTTGTAACAGTGATTTCCTACTTTCGATTCATCTGTGCAACACTGGTAACTGCACCATATTTCCTAGAATGAAAATATTCAAAGAGAAGATGTGGACCCTACCCTAAGGAATGAAGGGTCAATTACGAAGTATTTCCCCTGAACATTACACACAATACAAGTACAGTAGTTATGAATATGGGCAAATGCATCTTATTTTTTTCTTTGATCTCACATAATGTAGCGAATACACACACTGATTACAATGTCATGTCAATGATGGGTTTTTTTCTAAAGTGCAGTGGCATATCTAGGGGTCGCATCCCACCCCCCACAAAATAGTTTAAAAATCACTTCACATCACCTTATTTTGTGAGCTAGCACCCCTTACCTAACCATCAAGTTCCCCCACTTCTTCGTCATCATCCCCCCCCATTTTAAGAGTCTTAAACATGCCACTGCCGATGAGGCTTCCATTGAGTTCACACATTACACCTGCGTAGGAATGTCTACTTGGGGTAACACAGCACAGCAAGAGTAAAATATCGACCCGGATATACTTGGAATTATCTTCGTGCTTTCTATGCAAATACAACAAATGGTGAAGTAGCAACACTATATCCCCATATATCACAATGTGAAAATTAACTCAATCTATGATTATGTCCTGAATACGAAGAAGCGCACTCACTACTACTATGTCACTAACCATATGAAAATGCGCATATTAAGTTAGGAAACAGTAGC